TTCACTTTTCCCCTCGTCTTATATTATTTTGTTTATCGTAAACTTGTGCTTTAAAAAGTTTGCATTTTTCCATTGCTTTATTCTGTACTGAATGTTCTAGCGTTGATATAGGTACCGTCGTCGCAGTGTCAGCCAGCTTTTAGATGGATCGTGAAAGAGTTGTACAGGCCCTACAGGCCACAACGTCATCAACGCAACAAGGAGAGGCAACAACTTTTTTGGATCAGGTGATTAATGCTTATGGCTGTTATTTTATTTGTGGACGTCGAAATTTTTTTGCCATAAGAACTATTGTTTAGGCTACAAGGATAATAGGATTTGCACCGTTACTATTACAAATCATTATGGATGAAGCAACAGATTGCTCAGCTCGTCAGGCCGCTGTTATTTATTTGAAAAATGTCATCAATAGGTTCTACGTTTATTCCACTTTTTTATTCGGTTTCGCTTTTCTTCCCTTGTTACAGCAGACTTCTTTAACTGCTTACGTCTTGAAAAGGAATTTAGTGTCGAGTAAGGTTTTTTTTTTGCAGAAGTTGGGTAGTTGATGAGGAAGTGAAGACACCCACGTCTTTAGTAATGTCTGAACAAGATAAATACATTATTCGGGAACACATCATTGAGGCGATTGTTGCATCACCAGAGCCTATACGGTAATAGTATAAAGCATGTACAATTTTCGGTTGTCGACAAAATTCAAGCCAAAAGGAACACATCAATTTATCAAATAAGGAGTTGAGTAGACTGAGTAACTGCTCCTGCAATTTTATGATGGAGAGACTAAAAAAGGGGAGAAGTTATTGTGTACGATACTTTTTTGAGTAATTATTGATAAGACTTTTACGAAGGAAGTTTTAAGTAGAAGTGTTTAAACATAATTTACTTCCTTCCAGCAACTTGACATGGGTTTTTTATAGTGTACAGTTATGTACTGCGGTCGGAATGATAATGAACCACGACTTTCCTAAGAAATGGCCTCATTTGCCACAAAAAATTACCGGGTTATTACACTCGATAGACGGGCCTTCATGGCTTGGAGCATTATTAGTCTTGCGTCGCCTCGTTAAGATTTATGAGTTAGTTTCCTGTAAAAGTAGCCTTTTTGTTTGAAATACATAGTCATTAGTACTGCATTTATTTGTTTCTAGATATCGGAAAGTTAAGGAAAAAAAGCCTTTGATCGAGATTATGAAAGTCTTATTACCAATGCTCTATGAAAGGTTGTTAACACTAATGCCAGATGCAACTCAAGAGTCCTGCTTACTGCAAAAAATTATACTGAAAATTTTTTATGGCCTTGTTCAGGTTGGTTTTTTATTTTAGATTTGGTGATTTTTAAAGAATCTTTCGGTTATTATGTAACAACTAGCAATGACTAGGAATTTCGCATCTCAAGTTTTTAAAATTGATTTTGTAGTTTTCATTATAAATTTGTGTCAGTTTCTTAAACTGTGGTATGGAATTAATCGGTTGTTTCAAACAGTTCTCTTTAAACTTGGAAATGATTGACGTTAACTCAATGATGCAATGGCTGGAGCAGCTGCGTATTGTGGTTCAAAGGACAGTTCCTGAAGAAGTCAATACTATACCGGAAGACGATCGTCCTCGCACAGTTTGGTGGAAATGTAAAAAATGGGCGAGTTCTACTGCACAACGTGTTTTTGAGAGGTAAACTGTCGAAGTTAAGTAATCCTCTGAATAAGTAAACATCTTATGTGTTTCTTTTGGACGAGGAATATTTTTTAGGTATGGTTCACCTGGTCAGGTTGAAAGCGAGTACACAAATTTTGCTGAAACTTATATGGCACATTTAGCAGTTCCTACTATACAGACATATTTATCTCTTCTTGATAGCTATCGTCAGGGTTTATATGTTTCTCCAAGAGTGTTGCACGCTATTTTACAGTATTTAACAATTGCTATCGCACAGTCTCGCACGTGGAAAGTTATTAAACCTCATTGCCAGGTTGAAATTTTTAATTATTTGGTTTTGAGGTTTCTTTATTTATGGATTTCTCACAGCCATTTGAAATGCTGATAGTACACGGCTTCTTTTTAGGTTTGGTCTAGTAACAAAATATAGTGCGAAACTAATTTCAGGAGTTAGTTCGGACTATTCTGTTCCCGCTTATGCGACACTCCTCCGAGGACGAAGAAATGTGGAATGATTCACCTGAAGAGTATGTACGAATGAAATACGGTAAATGCTTTTTTTAATATGCTTATTCCAAATGCTTTTTTACGTAAACGAATAGTTGTAGATTTTCGCTGACTATTATCTGAAACCAGTCATTCACTTTTGGCTGTATGGTTCACTTATTTTAGTTAAACTAGTGAAATTTCTTCAGATATGTACTATGAATTGTACAGCCCTGCAATGGCTGCAGTGGATGTACTGAACGGAGCTGCAAAACGAAAAGGAGTGTTACAACCGATTTTACAATTTGTGCTAGGCGTATTGAACAATGCTGAAACAGATCCTGTGGATCAGGACGGGGCACTGAGGATAATTGGTGAATTGGCATTAACTTTGAACAAAAATAAGGTATGCTTTCAGCTTCTTGTTTTTGAATGAAGTAGTGTTTATTGGCCAACTGTTTTATCGTTTTTAAACTTGTTTGGAAAAAGTTTCATTTCAGTATAATCTTCAACTGCTTTTTCTTTGAATGTTCTGTTTTAGTTGTACAAAAACGATGTGGAGAAACTTCTTGATGCAGTGGTAGTGCCAAGATTGTCTCATCCTGCACGCTTTCTACGTGCTCGTGCTTGTTGGGTTGCTAAGGTTAGTATTTTAGTGATGTGTGAATATTTTTCCATTAACTGATCTTAGGGACTAAACTTGCTATAAGTTCAGTAAGTTACATTCTTTCGCTTGACTTGATACTTCATCGTTTCCTTTCAATATCGCACATTTATTGTGGTATTTCTTGTTCCGTTCGTGAGTATTTGTTTTTTCATTATTTTAACATGTATTATGTTAACAGTCCTTGTTTGACATCATTTTAGGAGTATGGGGACGCAAAATTCACGTCTCCAAAAATTTTGGAGAAAATCATCACTTTGCTTGTCCAACGGCTTGCGGATGAAAATGAGGAGCTTCCAGTTAAAGTTGAAGCAGCGATTGCTATTCAGTATTTGTTGCATGGTCAAGAAAAAGGTTTATTATTTAAGAGCCTTCAATTTCTTCTGATTTTTTGTTCTATTTATGTATGGTTATTGTTCGATACAAAAAGTATTAATTTTTTAGTTAGAATGTTGTTATTACCTCACGTTCGTGTTGTTATCCTTGAAGTGTTGAAGTTAGTAGCTAAAGCTGAGATTGAAGCGATGACCTCAGTTATGGACGAAATCATGGAGGAGTTTGTTGAACACGTGATACCTGTTGCGGTAGAAGTCACTACTGAGCTGGTGAACAATTAACGTTTAGTTTTTATTGGTTGAAATTTGTCGTCGCTGCTCATTTCTCTCTTTATTGCTTTCTGATATTTTTAGGCAAATATATTCATACAGTTGGCTTCAGCAGAGAGTCAAGAGGAAGACCGAACGGTGACTATTTTGGGGATTCTTTCCACGTTAGGTTCAGTTCTAGAAATTGTTGAGGACAATAAGGAAGTTATGTTTCACGTTGAGGAACAAGTGCGCCGTGTAATAAAATATGTTCTAAGCACTTATCAAATAGGTGAGTTTTCTCGAACTTCATAGACATCTTTACTTTTTTGATTATATTTATCAATTCTTTTGCGTTACTGTTTTGTCTGCCTGCTGTTTTTGAAAAACACTTGTTTGAAAAACAATTTCTCTGAGCTTTCAATTAACTTTTTAATTGCAAGTTGGTTGGGATTACAGATTACTTCGAAGAGACATTTGCTTTGGCTAACTCGTTGATTTTAAATTCTGTTAGTGAGCCTATGTGGGAGATTTTCTTCGACGTTCAAAAAGTTGGCCTAAATGAAGGAGCACAGTTGTTTGTAGGTGAGTTCGAAGGTTTTTCTATTAATTTTTTATTTGGTTTCTTCGCCGTATTTTAAGCATATTTGGCTTTAAAATTCAAAGGAGTTTCATCAGTTGATTTGCAAGTGAGTAATCTTCAGTATCCATAAATATGTTTTAGATGGTGCTTTCATATTTATATTTCTTTTTTACTTTAACTTATGGATCTTGTTTTAATGACGCTTATACAGCTGCTCGCAAGTTGTACGGACTTAATATGCTGTCAGTAGCTTTATGTTTGCTAATTTAGTTTCTAGATTTTTTAATTGGCTTTTATGCAGTAGACAAAAAGACGTTGATTTTTTTTGGTTAGTTTATTGGCGAATTGTGGGTTCAGTACCATGTCAACTTCAATTTATTTATTTTTTATTATTCACCACTCAACGCTCGTAACCCTGTGACCTTCAAAATTATTATTTTGTTTTTGTCCTTGTTATGATACCTGTAAAACTTTAGGGTCTGTAGGAAGCAGGTCTCTTTTCCCATTATTTTGTTTACCTACTTCGTAGACTTAATACTATTAGCTGTTGTTCTCTACTTGGAAGTTTTTTTTAGAATCAAGGCATCTACTGCAGTTTTTTTAGATATGATGCCACTGTTGCACTCCTATCTGACTGTCGATACCGACAGCTTTTTGGCTCGTCCAGAGCGAATAAATGGCTTGATTGAAATTATAGTTAACGTTTTTAAGAACGAGACGGGTGAGGATGATCAGGCACACGCAGCAAAATTATTTGAATGTCTTTTGCTTCAGTGTCAGGTAAACATTTCAATTTTGCGACAATCACAACAGTTTATTTTTAGATTCAGTAACGAAATTTCAAATTCTTACTTCGTTTTTCATTTTCGGCAAGATTCCGCTTTTTTACTGTGACGAATTTTCTAGTGTCAGACTTTGATAACTACATGAAATTTTAGGGTCGCATTAACAAGTTAGTGCCAGATATAATACAGTTGGTTCTTATGCGTCTGCAGGAGGCCACTGAGTCACAAGACTTGAACATTGCACTTTTGATGGTTAATTCATCTAAATTAGTTTAATTTTAATGAAGAAAGAAGAGCTTTTCGCTTCTTTTGTGGTATCTTGTGTCTTGTTTAGAAAAGTTCTTTTTTGCTAATACTGTTGTCAGGAAGAAGTTCTCTCAGTTGATACTTTGAAACTTACTGCCTTTGTTTCCTTGTTATTGGTCTTGTTTGTTGTAGGTTACACAATTTCTTTCAAATTTAAGGTTGTTGCTGCTGGGATTTACTATGACCCTCAACATTTTCTCACTTTTGTGTCTCAATTACAACCACATGGAGCGAACACTTTGAACTATATTACCAACGAATTACTGACTGTCGCGTCGAAGATTGATGGTATTCATAACAGGAAAATGGTCGTTATTGCTTTGTGTACAATGGCACGGTTGCCATTAAATAGCAGACCTTCGTTGATTGTTGAGCGAGCAAACGCGGTATGTTAGACATTTGCTTAATGTATATCTTTTTCACTCTTCTTGAAGTTAAAAAGCCTTGTTGACTAACTTTAGTTTTACTTCTATTTCACTCTTCATTTTTGTAGGCTCTGTGTAGGGGTCAAGGTTTTTGACAGGTTCTGTATGATCTGTGGTTGTTGTTGGAAGTTTAGAAATTATTAGTACTATCTGCTTTTGTTTGTTTCGTTTATGATTGGTTTTAGGTGAATGAGAGTATCGTTTTAATCCTAGAAGGGCTACAAAAAGCCTTGAAAAATCAGGCAGAAAATCGGCTCGCTGAGGAGAAGCGTCAAGAACAGGAGGATAGCGAGGTATTTCAAAGCATTTGGGGATTTTACAGCACAGTGGGAGTTTTGGCATGAAGAAACCGTAGTCAGTTCTTGGTGTCTTTTTTTAAAAACTATTCAAAATTTGAAGTTATTTAGGAGGAAGAAGAACGAGAAGATGATCTTGCTGACAGTGAGGATGAGATCGATGAAGGTACCTTGGAATATCTTGAAACTCTTGCAAAACATCAACGGAAGGCGGACAGGGTAATATTTCGGAAAAATACGGGGAGGAAACCTGGAGTTTTTCGTTATTTGTGCCTCTGAATCCTCTTGTCTGGCATTTGGCACCACCGCTTTAATAAATTGAAAGTTTTGATTCTGTATTTTTCTCAGTCTTTTTACACTATATTGGCAAGAGCGGTTGATCTTTAATCCAAAAGTTTTAGTCGGGAGATGCCAGTGAAGGCGAAGACACTGTTGGGACGGATGATGGGGATTATAGTGATGAGTGGGATGATGAGTCATTGGAAGCTTATACTACTCCGATTGACGAAGAGGGTGGTGCCGACGTTTTTGTTTTTTATAAAGAAACTTTGGAAGGTTAGCTAATGAAGGACTGGTGAACAAATTTTCTGGTGTTTAGAAATCTTTTATTTGATTAAGTTTCTGTTTTTCAGTGCTGCAGCAGTCGGATGAAAACTTATTTAATGCTTTAACTTCATGCTCCGATGAAGAAAAAGCTACTGCTTTACGTAAACTGCTAGTGGTTTGTCAGCAGAGGATGAATTTGGCAAAAAGTAAACAGGTACTGACTGTGTTATTAAATGGGAGTTTGGCGCACTTGTAGCTCGTCCTGCAACTGTTTAATCAATTATTTCACTATTCCAACAATCGCCATTGCGGAAGAAAAGCGTTTTTATGACTATCTTCTTTTTTAAGGTCGAACAACAAGGGGGCTACGTTTTTAACGTTGATGCACCAATACCGACTTCATTTAATTTTGGCAGCGGTTCTGTTAGTTAAAGAACCTGTTTTATGGAGGTTCTATTTATTATTTAGAGTTTTTGAGATTAAACAGCATTGAGCTTTAAAAAGGTTGAATGCTTCTTGCTATCACGGGTTGCTAATTGTCAGTCTTACAATGGTTATTGTGCATTAGTTACGATATAAAATGGTCTGGACTGTTCGTTGTTTTTGCTGATTCTTTTTTTTTTTTTTTTTTTTTTTTTTT